ATATATATTTTCAAATGCAGGTTTTTTCATGAAGGATAATTCAAAAAGGTGCTGTAGTTGCATAAACTGCCGATCAGGATGTCATAAAGGTACCAAAGCTGGGGACTAAATTTTGATGGTCAAGAATGAATCTGATTTAGTACACCAACTTTTTGTCACTAGCAAAGAAGTTCTGATTACTAGCAAGATATTGCTACTAATACACAAAATGAACTAAAGGTTAGAAAAATAAGACCATTCTCTCTTCATGGTCAATTGCCAGAAAAAAAATTACCCTCTAATTAGAAGATAAATCTAATAAAAAAGAAAAATTGGATTCACCTGAGTTTAGGTTTTCACAGGGCTATAAACTAGTGCTTGGTGCATATGGTTAGCTAATTAATATTTCAACTTGGTTTGCTTGGCATGAACCATTATTTTCCAGCCTGGATGGTTTGCAAGCTGAACTTTTTGGTCCCTCAACCTATAAATCTCTTACTTTAGGAGTGATGGAAGAATAAGTACCACTATAAATTCTACACAGGATCATATTCAGTCCCTTTGAACAGACAAGCAGCTTCGAACACAGATTTACTGGACCTACCTAGACTAAGCTAACATGTGCTAAGCAATCATTGCTGGCCTAGCTTACAGTGCACTGCTTCTTATTTTAAGAAAACTGTGCTTATTATTGTCAAACCATTATAAGTGAAAATTCAAAATTGGAGCAAAAAAGCTATATAGTTTTTAGTCACCGAAAGTTGAGAACAACCTGTAATTATTTAATAGTTTCAACAGAGGTATCAAGGTATCAAGTACTTCAGCATAGTCGATCCTCAGGAATGCTACATTAGGAGAACTAACGGTTGCTTTGAAGAGGACCCGAATCCCTGTTTTAAGGGAGAAAGTTATACACTTCCAGAACATAAAGGGCTAAACATACAGTGGGACAGAAAAGATCTGCTGTTTTAGTAATAATTTAAAACTTTTTCTAATTTAAACCAGTATTTACTTAAAGGAAATTGATACTTCTAAAGGATTATTTGCACTTACGAGTTATTTAACAATTATACCTTTTTCAGTCTTCTGAATCCAACAAGGAACTCAAAAACTTCAGTTTTCTAATTGAATTGAAATGTTAAAGCCATGTAGTTGAAGTATTGTAGTAATGATCTTAATGACCTTCCTCCTTAAGAAAATTCATGAGCTTTTTTCTCCCCCTTTAAAAAGCAGATAATTATAAGAGTTATTGCTTCATGCGACTTTTGCGCACTAACACAGAGATGCCCAAAATATAGAAGATGACTATATGTTTCAAAAGTGGAGAGGGGGAAAAAAAATAAATATATTTAAATTTTTACTGTATCTGAAAGAGCAGTTCATAATTGGCATTCTCTCGAGGACTGGAAACCTTGCACTCAAGTCTTTTAAAAGCTTATGAAATAAGATGGTTATTATACTATAGTTCCTTTTTTTCCTCTCTCTCTCTCTTTTTTTCTTTTACTCTGAAGAACAAGAACAGGGTGATTAATTTTTTTTTTTAAACTACTTTATACTTCAAAGTTTATATTTAGTCAAGATTCCTTTTGGAATTACCATATGATTACTAATAGTTGCTCCAGTAGATAAAGTCCAAAGCAATTTCTTTGGATGAAACTTAAGCTAACAACATAACAGCATTTTCTACCTTTATGTACCAACTGCAGGTGAAACACTGGGAGTTCCAGAGTCAATAATGGGCCTCACATTACTAGCAGCAGGAACAAGTGTACCAGATACAGTTGCAAGTGTGCTGGTGGCTCAAAAAGGTAAAGATTTTGGTATACAGGCTCATTCCATTGAATGTGTTTAAAAGGAACTATGGGAAAAATTCTTGTCAATATCTCCAGTACTTCAAGGAGCAACTTTAAATTGTCATTACCGATTCTAGAGCTTAAATTTACTAATACTAAATAAAGTAGCTGTGGCTCAGCTGCTTAAAAGCTCTAGAGTATCTCAGACAAGAATTCCAGTAGTTTGATTTGCTGTTGAGCAAGTGTTATAATTTTACTTCAAAACACAACTATAGGTCATGGTATTTTAAACATGACTGGATTTTATAATTGCCTGGCTAACATATTTTAAGTGCAACTGTGCAGATGCTGGTGATCTAGGGAGACGATTCTTTTTCTGCCTGTAGTACCTAAAAACCATGCTCTGCATAATCATGTCTATAGTTTTTTCAGCTGAAAGTCTGAGAATGGTGCACTGTGAGAAATTGAGTCTGTTCCTCCAAAAAAGTTTGACAATTTTATACGATACAATCAGGCAGGGTCATTTATCTTTTTTTTTTTTTTTTTTGCAGGAAATGGAGATATGGCTATGTCTAACATTGTAGGATCCAACGTATTTGATATGCTGTGCTTGGGAATACCCTGGTTTATAAAAACTGCCTTCATAAATACATCAGGACCCATAGAAGTGAACAGCAGTGGTTTGACATACACAGCCATTTCTCTTATCTGCTCTGTTGTTTTTATTTTTCTGGCAGTTCACCTGAACGGCTGGAAAATAGATAAAAAATTGGGAGCAATCTGTCTTGTACTGTACTTAGTATTTACTATATTATCAATTTTATATGAACTTGGTATCATAGGGAACAATCCTACAAGGGTCTGTGGTAACTAGTTTTAATCAGTGATTATACTGAAGAAAAAATAAAAGCAAGAGAGAACGATCAGTTTCTTCATTTAGTCAGAAAAAAAAAAATCCAAAACTCCCACTGGGCTCTAAATCTTATTTACAGAACGGAGTCATGGCATTAAAGTAATATTAAGTAGAACAAAAACATCACAGCCTACTTGGAGCCCTTTCTTTTAAAGTCAAGAATTACAGTATGACTACAATGCACATATAAAACCAAAATTTTGAAAAAAAGAGACATCCAATTTTTACATTATAATGTTGATACAGGGTAGGGCGGGGGGGAGGAAGAAAAAAAAATCAGAAAAAAAAAACAAATCCCACTATGCAATCTTGAGATTAACAGAGAAAATGGCTTATTTTATTAAAAACAGTATAACCATTCATTTAAACTGAATGACTAGAGACACTTGGCCTAATTTTCCAAAGGCACTGAGCATCCAGAGCTCCCACCGTCTAATGGAACCTGCAGGTGGGCTCAGTGCCTCTAAAAAAACAAACAAAAGAACAAAAACAAAAATCAGGCAAATTGTCTTTAAAAACCAAACATAGTAAGATTCAGTTAACAAGTATCACAGTATATTAAACACTATACTGTTAAAGGCTGGTGGGATTTAAAAGTTCGTTTTTACAGCTTTTGTAAGCATACAATGTTACTAAAAATGACTTACTAGGATAGAGAAGCTAAACAGACATAGGAATGTTCCTGAACATATAGTTTTAAATTATGCATTGCGATCCAAGCGTACATCAATTTCTCTGCCACTGATTTTTATGCCGTTCATTATCCTACAGGCTTTTTCAGCAGATTCTGGTGAGTCAAATCTGACTGTTCCACAGCCTTTTGATTTTCCATTCTCCATTTTTATTTCTGCAAACATTACATGACCTGAGTAAATAAGTTAAACAACAGTTATTTTAAGTCTTCAGTGCACTAACAACTTAAAGAACTAATAAAAAAGGCATTTTACAATATAATCTACGGAGACATATAAAATTAGTACTTTCAGACTGATGACCATTCAGAGAAGTTGACGTGGGTCAAAAGAACAGTGAAGAATCCAAATCAAGACCCACTGTTTCAAGTCTTTCCTAGTATGATGAAGTATGGCTATACTTAACCTCAAGCTTGAAAAAAAGTATCCTATTAAGCCAAGTTTTGCATTTCGTTCAGCTACCCTGCCAAAATGTGACTATTAAGATCCATTAGCTGAATTATTCAGTCCAATCCGCCATGTTCACTACAGTATGACAACCACAGTAACATACCAAGTAATCACAGCAATCAAGTAATTTTGTCAGGAAGTTGCACACCAAGGTTACAGACTGAAAAATAGTAAAGTTACCATTGAAGCGTGGGGGAGAAGTAGCAGGCAAAGTCCAATTCCTTCTCTGTTCTCTCAGGGATGGACACTACTTACTCATGACACAACATTTTCATACAGACACCTTCAAATCTCAGAGAACATTCAGTGCTTGGAGCTAATGACTTTTTACTGAAGACACTTTGTAGCACACCACCCCACGCCCTAACAGGCTAGTAAGAACATGGAAGTCTCCCTAGAATACATACAGTTTAAAAGTCAAATAATAGAAGATTGGCCATTCACTGAAAGAAATTGAACATATGGAGAGATATTCTTTATAGTCCATTATGATACTGACATGAAAACAATCTGTTACTTATATTTGTGGTTGTTATTAAGAATTATTTAACATAATTACTACCTCTGTTAGTTGCTGATAATTAAAAAAAATCTGGACTCCAAAGGTTGTCTATACAATTTAAACTGTGTAGCCTATGTAGCTATATCTATTTCTAGAAAACAATAACCCCTCATTATAAATGTAAGTATATTATGAAAAACTTGGGGTTAACAAGATATCCATAACTTTACAAAAATGCAGATATTGAACATAAAATCACTTGATGCTACAACTGTATTTGCACAAGCAGTTGTACTTCTTTAAGAAAGTATTTTAAATACTTTTTAGCCAAAAAATGGCAAAGAACTGTTTAATAGCTCTGAATAAAGATGTTTATTTTCACATGTCTATCCATATTAAGGGAGAAGGTGGAAGGCAGGGAAAAAGAACAGGCAGAATAACTTATGAAGATTTCTGAAGCAAAATCAAAGATGAACAATGTCTTGTTGGTTTCACAGTGAGCTTGTTAATCAAGATTAGATAACCATGAGTTTAAATACTGAAAATGAATTAGTAGCCAGACTTTTACTGGGGGGGGCGAGGGGGGGAAAATAGGGTTTATGCAGTGCTTGACTCAAGTGGAATCCTTAGCATGAGATCAGGATATGGACCTGAAACTCCCAGGAATTACATCAACAGCAACATAGCCCTGAAGGCAGTAAAAGGGGAAATTTCCACTCTGAAAAGATGGTGCACTAGATTTGGCTGTAATTCAGCAACAAAAGCTTCGAGTGCTTGAATGCATGCATACTTTGAGCCCCTCCAGCTACAAAACATTTGAACACCTGAAAGCCAGTGTAGTTCAACTGCAAGTTCTAACTTATACCAAATCTGCAAATGGCTGTGTGAAGACTGTCTTCGCTATCAGATATCAGTACTATGTTTTAAATTATTTCTCTTTCCTGTCTTTCCAAAATAAACAAAGCTGTCCTGTAAGCCAGTTAAAGCTTTCCATTCTGAAAGTGAGTTTTGAAAAGAAGAAAACAGTCATTTATTTCTACATCCAAGCTTAACTTCTCATTCAGTTCTGTAGAAAGACAAAGTTTTTCTAAATTAGAGAACTACTGGATATTCAAGAAATCTTGTATCTTACATAAAAAGGGCTTTTATTTTTTAAGGAAAAAGCAAGCATTACAGCCTGCAAATATGCTAATCAGGATCGTTTACCTTCATAAAAATATATTTGCCATTTTGGCAAAACTACTAACTGCCTCAATGCAGTGCCCTTTCTGCAAGGGATGCCTAACCTTGATGAGGCCCATACCCCTGCAGGCATTCATCTCAAAATAAGTGCTTTGTTATAGACAATGTATCAGCCAAAGTATACATAATACCTGCTTCAAAAAAAAAACAAAAAACAAAAAACAAACAAACAAAAAAACACCTCAAAGCGAGATTTTATTAATGGAATGGATTAAAGTTTATAACAGCTGAGCACTCAGAGCCAAGATAAGTCATATTGTACCTTGGCCTCGTGTTGTAGAATCACGTCTAAGACATGCTTAAAAATTATATAAATAATTCTCAGGAAAGCAAGAAAGATTAGGCTGGCCAGACTCTTCTTTAGGATAAGGCAACAACCTCATCCTATTGCCCTTGTCTAATACACATCATGTAGACCATGAAGTTAGTGGAGCTTAGCAGAGATGAGATTCACATACATACCACATTGACTGAATTTCTCCTTTAGCTTCTGCCAAGTCAAGTCAAAAGGAAGCTAGAATAAAAAGGGGTATTAATAACATTAAATATTACATAGAGAGGAAAAGCATGTAATCAAACATGCACACAAAATAAGCTACTGGTTTCTATGTATCCAAACGCTTACATTTCTGACAAATATCTGGTTGCCTTTAGAGCCTAATCTCTCTCTCATGCCTCCCATTGGGCCAGCCACAAATCCTCGATCCATATCGATGTTCCTGTCCAGGCCTCCACCCATAGCTGGTCCTATTCGCTCAAAACCAGAACTCATCCGATCCATCCCCATTCCCATTCCGCCAGGCATACCGCTCATACCACCCATTCCACCACCTACACAGAGAAAGAAAAGGAGAGGAAAAAAAAAAAAAGTTAATTTAAGTACACAAATACATTGTAAAAGTTAAAACTTATTTTGTCAGGAGAAAAAAAACAATCTTAATAAAACTGATGCCATACAGAGCGTGACTTCATACATGCAGTGATTCATGCAGTAACATGCCTAATAATTTAACAGTGTTAGAATTTACAAAGTGTCAATTCTAAAATAAAAATAAAAACCAAACTGCATCAAGCTGTTAGTCTTACCATCTAGCATAGTAAATGTTGAACACCACAGGTAAGAAATTGAGACTTAAAGGCTGTCCAGTTTCTTTAACAAAAATCTTATACATCACACCAAAAACAGATTAAGTAAATAACCATGGAAATACCAAGAAATAGATAACGACCATATATATCACTGTGAATGCAGGAAGCAAAATAAACGTTCAGCTTTACTGAATGCAGCTATGCCCACACTTAACATAACCACAGTCTTCTAAAGAAAGCATACTCTGCAAAGAAGAGATGCTACTGTGAATAGCAGAGACTTTCCTTCAATACATGCAATATATTAATACATAAAAAACAAGATTAATAGCATTCAAATAACCCATTATTTTTTAATTATGAACCTAAAAAGCTTTCAATGCAAGGCAAAACTACCAAGACCATCCATGAGGGATCTTAAGCAGTATGCCTCTTAAGATAGCCACTAGCAAGCTCTTAGTTTCTCATCTGCTCTAGCTTGAAGAATTCAAACGTTTGCCATGTCAAACTCAGTACTGGAGCTTTGCACAAAATTAAACTGAGCAATAACCTGAAACTCAAGCTCTCATTGCATACGTCAATAATTTCTCATCATTGAAACAAATAAGTTCTGCTTTATGAAGTTCACGCAAATAAACCTGCCTTTTTTCCTGGAACACAAGTTAACTTGAAATACTTCTTCAACATAAAGGACAACAGATGTCCAAATCATTTCAAAGCTAAGATTAAGGGAAAGACTGTATTAATGCATTTTCCTCTGATCTTTTACCTCACAAAACAGCTTCATAAACTGTCAGACTTGCAGTCACAAGAGACAGAATTCTACTTCTTTCATCACTGACAAGACGGTACACCAGAACAAAGTCCTCCATGTACAGGTTCACTGTATCATCACATTACCTACACATTTACATTCTATTGGAACAAGTCAACCTACTCATTCCAGATCTCACTGGGCCCATGCTAGATGCTCCCATTCCTCCTGCAAAAACATCAACCATTGCATCACCTAAACAGAAAAAAAATAATAAAACAACAACAAAGCACACACTGGTTAAGAGCACTGATCTCAATGTTATCTGACAATTTTTTTTTCTATGGAACACTTTCACCTGTGCCTTACTTTATTCTTCAAACAAGGTAGGAAGCATCCAGTAAGAAAAACTAGTTCCTCCTTCTCTATAACAGGTTTTAAGCTACTCCAATGTTCTTTCCAGCTACAACTTTCTCTCCTCTGATCATCTGCCAGCAGCACAGACAACTTTAAATAAGCCATTTCCCACTTTGGGAAGAACAACCTCATTCTCAAGGTTGAAGGGTTGATCTTATTTGTACTTCATCAGCTAGAAATGCCCTAGTTTCCCTCATTTTAAAGAGACCAGTGCAAAAGATAGGAGTAGCTCTCTGTATTTCCTTCAGTACCGAATATATAGAGTCAGTAGAGTTTAGTAGGGAAAAGGAAAACGGAAGAGAAGAGATGCTTATTAAAGGCTGCCTCACAGGAGCATGGAACCTCCAGAATGGTATCACAGACAATGATTCGAGAGTGTGGATTAAAAGAAATTATTAAAAAAAAAAAAACCACACACTAACCCTTTCATGGAAGTGCTAAGGTTCAGAAAAAATATCCCAAGGGAGCTTCTACAATTGTAGAAACTACATTTCTGTGAGGGCAGAACAGAACAAGGCCTGTACAGAATCTGTAACAAGCATATCCACTTGCTCTAGAGAAAAAAAATAGGCAAAATTCATTCCAATTAACCTAGCCTCTATTAAAAAAAAAAAAAAAGAGCACTCTAACAATAGAAGAGGTGTAACAGCAGTTCTGGACTGACAAAAGATAGGTTCTTACAATAATGGGCAAAATTCTCAGACTATAGGTAATGTAATCCCTGCTATTAACCTATATCAAAGGAAGCAGTAATTTACAGATAAGTCTAGAACTCAACTACTACATTATCTTGCTTGATTTTCATCCTTAAGAGGAACAGCTCAGTTTTCACTTATGCCAAAATAGATTAATAACTGGCTTCTTTAGGCTATACACTAGTCTTTCAATATTTAAAAAGGATTGCTTCTCATAGAGATTTATTTTCCACACGACCAGACTTCCACCATATTTGTTTTCTCCATACAGTTCAGAAAAACAACAATTATTCTCTGCCAGTCTCGTGTGAAAAGAACATTTGCCTTCTTCAGACAAGAGGCTGTCATAGCAATACCCAGACCTCAAAAAACAGACTAACCTGTTCAAGAGGCTATGGTTGTTCAGCACCAGCAGAATTATTCCCAGTACTTCAGCCAACAGTTTATTATGAGCAAGCTCTTAACACTTATTCATTAGGGTCTTGCACTGAAACACCGAGCCAAACTTTGAGTTTGCTGCCAACAGGACTGTATTTCCCCGTCTAAATGGGGTTGGGGGAGGGGAATCCTACTTTTCCAGAGATAAAAAAGAAAAATTCAGTTTTTTACCCACTCTCTTTTAAAAGAAAGATATATATTATATACACACACACCGGTAACAGCGTCTAAGATGCAATAAAAGTAAGAAAAAACCTCAGGTAATCCTACCAAGCAAACATTCAGCAGTTTCTGAAACATCCTCTCCCTGTCATTTTTGCCAGCTGGCTTTTTACAAATGAGAAAGACTGAGCTCAGAGATCCACCAGGAAACAAACTTTGATTTCTGAATATTTCAGAGTTTTAGCGGTTTAAATAAAGAGTTCCAAAGATTCTGCTGCAAATTAAACACCCTCATTTTTATTAATTGAGGCCATAGCCCAATCAAACGCTGTCTTACGTTGCCCTCCCTGAAACCGGCAGAGAGCTGAAGCTGAATGCACTCTTAACACTCTCCTTTACTAAGATGTCATTAACCTAAATACTGAGATGGGAGCACAGGTCTTCCCTGACTAAACATGGCATTTGTTAACTGTTGTGTTTAAAAACTTAAAATTTCCATTCACTAATTACAGATAAATTGGAAAACTCTTATGTTTGTTCTCTACAATCCATAAAGTTGCACAGCCCCAAAAGAACTATTTCCAAACATAGCAGTATGCAAGATTGCTGAGAAGTTGTAAGCTGAAGCTTGCTCAGACTCAGATCTACAAAATGAATGACTCAGCATATCCAGTTTTTCACAGTGACTATGTTTATGCCTTTCAATACCAGTCTCAGTATGACCTGTGTGTCGCTAGAAGACTTAGAGGTCTATAGCTTGCACGAGCATTTATAACTAAAGTGACTTTAGATTTTCATCAAGAAACAGATGAGATGCTTATACTATGTTGCAAGAACAGTGAAAGCATATCCTTGATTTCTATGACATTAATACTAACTGATCTAGCAACTGTACTACATTTTCACCACTTCTGCACAGTTGCAGGTGTTTGAGAAGAAGCACACAAGAGATTTTTTTTTTTAAATTAGGATAAGTCATAGCAAAAGCTAAAAAATAAAAAAAACAAAGAGTTCAACTTTTTTTAAAGTAGATGAACCTCACATTCTAATTACAGCTCTCTGCTTTTGTAGTGAGGAACTAAAGGAGGGGGGAGAGGAAATGGAAAAACAAAACAAACAAGAAAACAAAGAAAACGCCTTTCTCTAATGCATTCATCCTGGTAAGAGTAGAGTAACAAACCACAAGAAGGCTCTATGCCGGGGCACTTCCAGGCCTCTTACGCTCTATTCAGACAGAAGAGTGTCTTTTTTGAAGGGACCCAAAAATAGCAAAATGAAATTTAGTCAACAACACATCATCCATAAACTAAACAAAGCTAGCCCAGCTTCAGAAGAGGTCAATAAAACCCATTCTGAGTTGCATGAGAAAAAGTAGGAAGAATCTCGCATCTGCAAAATAAAAAGGACAGGGGAAAAATATCTAGCGGGCACCAGAATTTACCATTCCCATCCTTTACTACCTGATTTGCAATAAGAACAATTTTTCTAGCATGCCTTTGCAAAAGCAGGCTCCCGCAAGTTACAAGCTTAATACATGGACAGCTTGTTCAGGATTCCCAAAAGTACGCTTTAATACCCAAACTATGCAAAATCTGATAAAGTTAACCGTATGAAGCTAAATACTTCATTCAAATCGCTATTTTACAGAGAAAGAAAAACAACACACTTTAACCCCCATCTTCAGAGATGGGGGTAATAAACATTCCGATTACATCCTTATAGTACGGAGAGGAAAGGGATAGAGGGGTCTTCTTGGTTTGTCTCCTAGTAAAGCTCTTCCAATATTACGTTGCGATCTGCCACAGGAAATTTAATAGTTTTCATACCCATCCTTCCAAAAGAATCTCCGAAACCACGGTTCAATGCCATGTCACTACGCCCAAAATCTCTGTCCATATTTCCTCCCATTCCCCCACGGAACATTTCTGTAGGGAACAGAGCACAAAAGGAAAATAGTCTGTTAGGTATATTTAAGCTGATGTTCACAAGACACTTGTTTCACAGCTACTTGCTGAAAGAGAAGCGAGTTTAAAGCACAAGTCAGAGGCACTTACTAATACCTCCCATGCCAGCTGCCATACTCCCATGCCAGCTTTTATGTCACCACTCATGCCACCACCCATGTTTCCTCTGACATCATCTACATTACCCATCCCTATAAAGGGCAAGGGGTTCTGATAAGGCTCATAGATTAGCAGTAAGAAGTGAATAGGAACAATGTTCACCTACCTCCCATTCGGCTGACTCCAAATCCTCCCATGTTAGCCATTCCTTCCATTCCACCAAAGCCAACAAGCCCTGTGTAATAAGGAAAAGTGTTTTCTATATAATACTAAAAACCCACTTAATACAGAGAACTTCACTGCACATACCGCCTCCTATTCTGCTCATTCCACCAAATCCTGGACCATCCATTCCCATACCTTTAAAACAAGAAGACAAAAACCATTTAGAAGATAGTTAAGTTCCTGCTAGATTTAATAAATGCAGAGATGGTTAACATTTCAAAGGCACACTACACAAGACATGCTTTGATAGGAGTGTATCATTCCTCCAAACACAGAAACAATTATAACTTAAAGTTCTGTAACTTAGAAACTAAGAACACAGATTTACCTCCTGGACCCATACTGCCCATTCCACCACCCATGCTCAATTGTGTTGCACTGATGGGCTGTCCACCTGGTCCAAGTCCCATACCAATGCCACCAAGACCACCTTGAAAAAAGTCAAAGTAAGTATCATCAGAAAAAGAAGAACTTCTGTATCATAAGGAGACCACACAGCTATTCATACAAGTAAACACAAAGTAGTACCAAAACTGTTCCAAGACTCCATCCCCCCTTGCACTTTACTGTTATAGAGGGGGAGAAACACACCTCTCCCCCCACCCTACCCAAAAGGGAAAAGAATCTATACTCACGAGGTAACTGTGGAGTTTTGCTATCTGCAACACGGAAGTCTTCATGAGGAATTGATTTGTCATCCTGATTAAAAAAAAAGAGCAAGGATATTATGCTAAAATCCTTTCAATGTTTTAGCAGAGATATGTAACATAGAAATAAATGTAAACAACTTACCATTTTGACATGCATGGGTCTATCAAACAAGAACTGTCCATTGAACATAGCTGAAGAAATGCAAGTCAAGGAATTTAACTGCAAAAGACAACTCATTTTAGATAAATCATTGTAGAAATGCATTTCTCCCACAACTTCTAGCAGCCCTATCTTAAATCGTCTAATCTGTAAAATGCCAAAAGTCACTACGTTTCACTTTAAAAGCTTACTCTTACCAGTGACTTAAAGCTGTGGTAGACAAGATTATATAAACTATAAGGAACATGACATGTATGAAACAAGCTGTCATGTTCCATATTTTAAGCTTGTTCAACGTTATCAGAAACACCTTTTTAGACTTTAGCAGTAAATTCAGTAACTAATAAAAAAATCTGAAAAATATTATACTTGTCCCCATATAGCAGCTACAATGCAAATACGCACCACCTGTAAAACTACACTATTAAAAGCCATTAAACCAAGGTTAATCCATGTATGACCAACTATTTTTTCAAAATCAAGGATACATATTGCTTGAACAGCTTCAATTGCTTGTTCAAATGTAACTGTTCCCATTCCTCGACTCTTGCCATCTTTGTCTTCTTTGATATCTGCACGTTTTACTGTTCCGGCAATGCTGAATACCTCCTTTAGTTTCTTCCAGCCAACTTTGAAGTCAAGCTTACACATAAAAATACATGCATACTTTTAGTGCACATTTCTGTTCCGCCATTAAATTTCAAAGAGATTTTCTATCTTGTAGTAACTCTTCAGGTTCCCAAAATGCTTGATATTCATAAATTGCTACAATTTTATAACATGCACACACTGTAACCAAGCCGAACAAAAACTTTAACTTAGTTAAAAACAACAATTTATACTACGCATATCTATTTTACTTCTTGAATTAACATACTAAAATTGAGAGAAGGACAGGTTCTTTTCAAGAACAGCTGTACCCAATGTGTCCCCCGTTAGGTACATTATAGTCTATTTCTTAAATTTGTGCATATAAAGAACCAATGAAGTGAGCATCCCCATCAAATATAACTAAGTTAATCTAAAGTAATCAGCAAAATAACCTGAAGTGTATATTGAATTTAAAAACAGTATAACAAAGAAATAGAGCTGTAAATACATAGTGAAAAGATGTGCAATCATCTGTTGATCAAAATATTTTATACAACAATTAAAAATGTATGTCAATTTTGAGAGTTTAACGTATCTTTCACATCCAAAAGCTGTCTATATATCCTGTTTTTCAGCCGAATACACTAATTGTGAACTAACGCTTCTCATTTCCTCTTCATATTAAAACGGAATTATGCAGGAATATATATTGTCAGGAAAATCAAATACCACAGTTTTAAAATTGATACTTAAAACTTACATTAGCAACAAAAATAGTAGACCCAAGCCTGCCTGCCTGCAAGTTACTGATAACCTCAGGAGGAATGTTTGGATTATTGAGAATAGAAGGTGGTAAATTCATTAATCCAGGTGTCATATCAGGTCCATGTCCTCCTGGAAACTGTCCTCCTACACGATGTAGTGCCCTACGAGCATGTTCGCCATCAGGATCCTGCAACACGTGCAAAAATAAAGCTAGCTTAATCATCAATAGCAGGACTGGTAACCAAAAAAAGGTACTATTTGAAATTCTACATAAACCCATCAAAATTATCAACTAGTATCCTTGTCCATGTCAGAGGGATCAAGAACTGTATTAGCATGGAGACCTAATTCCCTCACCTCTAGAGGTGGGTCCTTTCAGATGAGGGTTGAGGCATATTGGCAAAGCACTTGTTGAGGAAGCGTGCACTGCCACTTCACATGCTGTACCTAGCCTATGGACAAGTAGAAAAGATTTCAATCTAAAGGACTGTCAGTCTAGTACCTTCTTCCAAGAACTGAATTAATTTAATTAAGTTTTCTCTGACGTGTTAATATCATTATTAAAGTTATAAATGGACATAAAGAACTGCATCAGACACCATTATATGCTACAACACTACAATAAAAATGTTGACAGTAATTTCACTTCCCAATCCACACAAGTACCCTACTCCCAACCCCCTTTTTTAAAGTATTTAATATTCTGATACTAAGCTTGTTCTGCCCAAAATCAAATTTTGAAACAAGTAAATAATCCGAACGTAACAGCAGCAGACACCACTCAGGTAAGAGTATGAGGTTAAAGAATAGAATGTTTTAAAGAAAGATAGCGTTTGATTATTTTGACCTTAAGATACAGTATTTTTGTCAGTTCACTTGACATAGTATCAAGACTTTCTACAAGCCAGCAGGCACTTTAGCCCATTAAGAAAATATCATAAAAATAATTAAACTGGAAATTACACAAATGAGACACTCAGAAACACAACATTGTCATTCCAGTATTTAGAGCGTCTTCACTACTTCAATTTAAGAACAGCAGCAATATTCATACCTCTTTAATATTCAGGGGTCTTCCACTAAGATCATATTTGTTCATAGTCTCTAATGCTTTCTTAACAAATTCTTCATCTTTGAATTCAACCACACTTAGGGGGAACAAAATATTTGGAGCATTAAAACAAAGTTTAAAATGTAAAAATTAACAGAATATTTGGATAGTAATGTGTCTCTATACACATAGAAAAATAAACTTACCCACAACCCTACATCCACGATGATTTGTCATCATATGTAAAGAGAAAAAAAAAAAAAAAAGTCAGTCAGCACATATAATAGAGTATTTAAGATTCCAGTTAAAGATCCCAGTTCACTGTTAAGTAACTATTCACCAAGTTATTTTCAGCTTCAGAATTCACAATACATGTTCTTTACATGTAGCCAAGCTGAATTTCTCCTATTCTTTTAATATACATACCATTGAAATGCAAGAGACTACATTATATTACATTTTATTGTCTTTGAGCCAAGCCAGAATTGGACAACAGAAAAGTGCCACACAGATCCATGTAAGGACAACCGGGGAGGGAGGAGAGAGGAAGGGGACAGGGACAGGAAAAAAAACCCACAACATAACCAAAAACTGATCAAGACACTCATTGTGTCATTAGAGCTGACCAGTGACTACAGTATTCAAATCCACATACATCATATACACCAGTACGATGAGCAAGGAGTCTGCATACCTCTTCAGTACTGCTAGCATATTTGACAGATTACTTTGTAAGAATATAACTTTGACTGCACCAAAATCCCTCCAATAAAGCAAAGAGTTTAGGACTGCTTTAAGTAAAGCAAAACTGAAAGCAGGTTTTAGTTTTAACAAGCATTGAGGAGAGTCATTTACAACAATTGTTACAGCTTCAGTTAAGACTCAAACCTGCATTCTCACGTTCTCACTGCAGGTTCGAGCTGCCATCGGCCAAACTTTTGACTATTTTTAAGAAGACAAAGGAGCTTTAACCAATCTTCACTCTTAGTGCCTCATTGCTGGCACTCCATTGGCTACCAACCGTCTCCATCCATTTAGTTTAAGAAAAGAAGGAAAAAAAAAGCAATTAATCCAGTGTTCAGAGTTCCAACCCTGCAAAGCTGTCAAATCAGGCACTTCAGATAGTATATTCTTAACTAAAATTTTTATACTTACTTGCCTCAAGAAGAGAGTACTACCCTAACAAAATTTAAATCTAATCAGTGGTTTATTGAACATCCTTTATATGAAACAGATTTGTAACAAAATAAACATGTTGGCTAAAAAGAAGAATTAAGTAAATGCCATTTGTTAACGTTTACAAAGTATTGTCCTTTACAGCCAGCTAGTTTGAGTTGCATGAAAGTGTCACACTAATTCTAATACAAAACCCTCAAGGCTATCATAATGAAAATCAGTATAAAAAAATGAAACTTACTTTCCAATAACTGGTACAGGTATTATACAAAAATAAAACTGCTGAGGAACTTTTAAACCTCTAGCAGATTGTTGCCCACGGCACTTACCCTTGATTTTCCTTCAGCATCCTTAAACAGCTCCACGTATGTAACCTCACCAACTACATAAGACATACAAAGGGAAAATACCAAGAGACAATGCATTTAAACACCAGTATCTTTCTTTACTGTGCCCCTGTGCACAACTCTACAGAGAAGCACCTATTATTCACCAACAATCAAAACCAGACCAACATACCTCCTGTCAATGGCTATAAAATTTAGCTAATTTTCAGAAATATTCAGCAGCCACATTCTCAAAAACTAAAGACAAACAACTATATTTAACCTAATTCATACTACAGATCATATTTTGGCCAGTATGATATAGTTGGTGAACAAATTCAGAAATACACACAGTCCCTTAACCTAACAAAAGAAACGTCAACGTTCACTGAAAAGTGTTACATTTATCATCCTACTCACAACACCTGTTTTAAGGTGACTTTCTACCTCAGAGTCTTCAATCATAAGTTTGCCTTCAAGAATAACCAAATTTACACAGCAAATATTTCACAGCAAGCCACTCACTTTTCTAAAGTAGGAAGTTTCAGTAAATAAACCAATCAAATAGTCATGTCACCTTACAACAGATACACCAGCAGTGACAAAAGGGTTTTTTGGCATTTTTCACAGCCTAGAATCCAAGTGTGCTTTGCATTACTTTTGAAGAATCAATATATTCGAGAAAAATATAGGACTAACTTTTTATGGAATTCTTATATTAGGATTACTTTCCCCAAACTTAAAAATATGAACTTTGGGGTATTAAGATTACTCTCTCAGAACTGCAACAATAGTAACAAGCTTTTAATATAAGTCTCCAGACAAGCAGTCATGGCAGTAGTGACAATGCAGACAAAAGTTAATTCCACAGCCAGATTCCACCAAAGAAATACAAAACAACTTTTGAAAGACATCCTATATTATTCATATGTTAACACACTATATGTGTTGCTTAAATACAATAGCCCTTAAAAAAAAAAAACTACAAAGACTACAACTAGACAAAACACAGTCCCTTTAAAAAGTCATGCATATACTCTCTACTGTCACACTAGAATGGCAGAAGATCGTAAACACTTCATTTACCCATCCTATCCTGCAATGCAATTGTCTCAGATGAAAGAGGGGGAAGGAAGATAGATGTACCAAGTAAAGGCCTAAAAATAAATAAATAAATAAATAGAAAACAAATCTGTGTGGCTGAAAGGACATTATATATATATATATATACACACACACACGTATGCAAGTTCTTCCCCTTTCTATAATAAAGGGCATTATCAGGAATAAGTTACCTTTCTCTCTCATAAGATCTTTAATAGCTTGCCATTTCATGTCATACGGGATGTTGCTAATGAAAACTCTACTACGATTAATAGTCTTCTTCTCTCCAGTGCCCACGTTCTTGTCCTTTGAATAGGGATGGAATCTATTCTTGTTTCCAAGAGAAGGGATTGCCTTCGGTTTTGGAACATGCTTCTCTTTCACAGGTGCTTTCTCTTCTTTTGCTGTCTCATCATTATCCCTACATTTCCCCCCCCCAAAAAAAAAAAATTAGTTTCGCATTGGATAATTAGACTATTACACTAGGCTCTATACTTCCTATGTTATTAGAACTCCCACAATGCCAAATCCTGCTTTTCAAATTGGGAGAAGTTATTTCATTTTTACCAGTCTTATTTCAAAACATGGTGCTGTATTTGGAAAAAAAATGGGTGACATAAAAGATTTATTCAATACTGTAATTACAGACATCATATCTCAATGCTTCAGTTACATTCGACTCCTGTTACGCCTATCAAGATTCAGCAAGACAATATTATGAAACTACTACGAACATTAAAATACCACTGGCACATTTCAGCTGAAAAATAAGCCATGACAGCCATACTTTGGTGCTTCAATAGCTTTCACATTAGACTTGGCTAAGTTGCACAATATTCACCACAGAAGTGAGAGCTGAAACAGTCTAATTCACAGAAGAGCTTGGTATATTTCATTCAACATAATAAATATATAAAAGTTAACTCTAATAGGCAAATTACATTTTGTTTACCACATAAATAATTTTTATTCATAATTTGTGCCAGACCACTTTTAGACAGAAATTAAAATTCAATTAAGCAGCACAAATGCACATTTGTTTTTATTGGTTAACAAAGCTGTAATTTGAAAATATGCCAAATGCATAGGAAATAGGTCTAGTAAGACACACTCTGCATCTCTGGCTAATGAAGTCATCATGTATTATCCACTAAAAATAAACAAAAAAAATTCTGGTCCTTGATCTTTCAAAAATTTAGAAAGAACAGCAGTTTTTCTTTCAAAATATATTTATGTTTACACGAAAAATGCCAGAACGTTTTTTTAAAGCATCCCATTTCTCAACTTTAATAAAATCATATTCTTTGAGCAGAATTAGATGAAACATCCAAAACAGAAGCCAAATCTCTTCAGCACTCTTGAAAGGGTTACTATCAAAAGGTGATTTAGTATGCTAACAGAGGATCAAGGGGCCTGACTTGCTACTTTAAGAGAGCTGAACCACTGAACTGAAAGGCTCCAGCGATAAAGCCACATAAATGTGATCTGTTAAACCTATGCCACTTACATATAGACCAATGTCTCCTTCAAATCTCATTGCAACATTAAGGGAAACTTAAAAAGGACTTCTACACAATCTTTAATTTTTAAAAGTCAGCGTTAACCACTTCAGTTAGAACAACTAACTATTCAAGTGTCCTACAGGACTGTCAAAGAGACTGATTGTGAGCCCTCTTTCTTAAATTACATTACTATCTTCACAATTTTTCCCATATTTCAGAAGGCTGAGGGAACCTAAAGTTTTTAGCTAGTTTTGACACTTCAGGATGTATCTGGGTGTAAAATAAGCCAAAAGAAGTATTTCAGTTTTACAACTACAGTATCTGGCTAGATTGTTGATTTTAATTTATTGAAATGAGTATTTCCAGCTCTCTTTGCAAAGTTATTAATAAAATAGTGAGTGGCAGTCTTACACTCAGAGCACGTGCATATTACCTTCCATGTTGCTAAATTTGTTATCTACTCAGACTTGGGCACTTTTCAGGGAGAAATAACTAAATACATCACTTTTCTCCCATGATTTTGTCCCCAGTTATAAAGTACTCATATGATATGAACTTCACGGTCTGTATGTTTACAATTGGATTAACAGGACTGTCTACTGAGATATGTGTGGACACTCCTCTGGGTTAAGTATCTGTAAAATTTAAAACAGTCAAAGTCAACAACACATTATCACGTTCAAGCATCCTCCAAGCTCCATCTGCATCATCCCTCCTCCATACCATCCTGTCTGTTGTGACAATATAGCTGTTGTGTGGCTGCATAATGAAGTGAAATAGTGGGGGGAAACAATGCAGATGAAAAATAACTGGAGGTGAATTGGGGGAGAACAGGGAATAGAGAGGGTAGAATGTATCTGTTTTCCAGTCAGATCAGTTCCATCTGTGAATGCAGAACTTCTGTCCATTGACACCCCTAGCAAAATCTGAATTCTTCCTTAAGTTTTCGGATTAGATCCATGAATTCCCATTAGCCTTTTAAGCTCTTTCCTGTTTAAAGGATTATGAAGCAGCACCCGGGTGCTCAGTGTAATGCACAGGAAAAGCTAGGTCTCCAAAGATAAAATCCTCAGGATCTACAGGTGGCTGTATTAGCCAGTAGAAGGCACAGAGGAGATGAATCCAGCACAAACTCTAATTTTTTAAAGAAAATTAGACTCTTAAATCTGGGAAACAAGACGACGCTTCACTCGGTCCAAGCATCATAGCCACAAGCTTTCCTGAAGTTAGGGAATTAAAAAAAAAAAAGAAAAAGAAAAAAAAGAGAAATCTTTCACCAAAATCATCTACCAAAACCATCCAGACAGTGACCACTCTGGAGACAGGGACTCTTTCAACTAGTTGTATTTAAGCTGCACTATTTCTTAAAGAACTTCAGTTAGAGCCTCAGCAAATAAAAACTGTCTAGGTGGTCAAAATCCTCTTGTGGATCTAGCCCTTACTCTCCCATCTGAATAATACTTTCAATTGAAGAATACATTCAAAGTAATGTTGCCTTAGTCACCTGTAGACCACTTAAGAGCCTCAAAATACTATGAATTGCCCTTCCTCAAAACAATAGTAATTTCTGCTTTTAATCTTTTTTATGAATTAATAATTTTATACAGGAATCTGTCTTAATATTTGCCTGTAAAACCACTAGCAGATTTCTAGGGTTGAAAAAAGAGGTCTATAGTGATTTCTTATCCCCCTCCCCAAAAAAATCCTCACTGATTAAATCACTGATTTAAATGAAGAATTTTAACTTTCTAAATAATGGCTTTAAACTTCCAAAAGTGTTTTGGAAATCAAAGGCAAACCTTCCATTTATAAACATAAAACTAGAAGCCCCCAAAATGTTAAGCACAAGATAAATCACTCTGAAAACCACGGAGAGGTGATTTTTTCTACAATTCTCTGCTCACAAGGGGCCCTAAAAACTGTAAGAGCAGTGAAGAGAGAATTACAGAAATTCCACAGCTGCACGTGTGATTCTGAAGCACATACATCAGCTTATCTTTGTTGTGCTGAACAGTTCTGTTGCTCAATACAACAAATTCAGGGAAGTGCAAGTTGAGAGCAAAACTCCTATCCAATTTAAATCGGGTGTTAAACAAACCTGGTTACTAAAATTAGGTAGTAAATTTTACCTCCACACTGACACCTTAATCCTTTGCATAGCTGTTTTGGGGAGGATTGGCAACTGTAATGAAAGAATAAGATTTGAAACCCTGTCACTAAGTCTGCGTTATTTTCAAACTTAAGGTTATGATTTCTATTACACAGAACGGCTTGGATTTTTCATTTACTTCAGTTACTAGAGAAAAGTAATGACAGAGGTAGGGATACAGAGAAATAAAGTCATTGTTTTAACAGTAACAACCCAAAAAGGCAGTGAAATACTACGTGCCTTGAAGATGTGAAAGGGTAACAATCTTCATATGAAAACACAAACTATAATTTGTGTAGCATGGAGGCTGTGGGCCAAGCCCAGAAAAAAATAAGATGCCGTCTTGTCCTAACGTAAGATTTACAACATACGAACTATATGCATTTTACAGGAAGTCAAGTAAAGGCATAAAATATGCCTTTATTCCTTCAGATCCATATAGAACTTAATCCCGTATGTGTTTTTAACATAACGGTATCAGACTTCAGCTGCTTCTAACATGTCAAAACATCACAGATCTCAACAGCCTTGAGGTACTGCCATAGTAAGTCTGCCACAAAACATATTTTCCCTCCAAGATGTGAATGAGATAAGAAGAGAAGCTGAAATTCCAGCAACATGAGACCAAAACCTAGTTCGGCCAGAGAACCTTGGAAGCCTGACATCAAGAACAACAAAAACTTTTAAGAGGCCATTCACTGAATTCTTCCGAGAGGTAACATTTCAGGCTCCCTCACAATAAATTCCTTATAGATAAGGCATAGCTTACATAATCCATATAAGACAGCTGTACTACTTAGAGAAAAAGTTTGCGCATGCAGTGTTTTAAGTAAGCGCCTAAAGGGCTTTCTCACCATTCCCATGTAAACAACGATTAATAACAACGCTTTACAAAACACACCAGTAGAGTAAGAAGTGGAAGCGTAAACAACGGGGGGAAAAAAACAATCCCGAACACTTCTTGGCACAGGATCCTGTGAGTGGCGGCCTACCCGGGGCACATCACAGCACCCGGCGGCGAACCAGCCGAGCGGAA